AATCTATAGAGTGCTTAATTAAGCAATCTAGATTTTGCTTAATTTTACAAAATTTGAAGGCAGTGGCTCGAACCAATTATATGCCATGGGTGGCAACCAGGTGCTTCTGGCTTGTTTCTTTTCGTTCATGCAGCCAGCAGCAGTTCTGCAAATTAAGAATGTGATTTTGTGGCATTATATTTTTTTTATAAAAAGGTTTGCCTAGGCAGGGTTTGTATAATTAATAATGTCAAAGGGGAAAAAAATGAGGAATGTAGTAAAGTAAACCTAGAAGATTGCACTTATTTGGGGAGTAGTGGGGGGCAAAATGTTGTTTGGTAGAGATGGCCTGGCGACCCTTAATATAAGGTGGGTACCCATTTTTTTGGGGCAAAAGGAACCATTGTAGAGACCACTTCTCTGATGAGTATGTCTGGTCACAAGCAACCATTATAGACATCACTCCTTCGAGGAGTGCTCATGAGTAGATAGTAGAAGTGAGTAGTGAGTAGCCAGTAGATAGCAGTTAGTGGCCAGTTAGAAGTCAAAAGTGGGTAAGTGAGCAACGAGTAGTGAGTAGCCAGTAGTGAGTAATGGTAAGTTAGTAGGGTAGTGGGTAGTGACTAGTGGGTAGTGAGTAGTGGGTAGAGTCAGTAGTTTATTGTCAGTAGTTAGTGGCGAATAGTGATCATTTTATGGTTTCTAGTTGCTAGCCTGTATAGTGGTGAGGTAATACTCAGTATGTAGCAACTAGCAGTCAGTAATTATAATGGCCAAAGTGCGGAAGCAATCCTATGCTACCTGCACTCCTCTGAGGAGTGCTGTTATTAAAAAACAATACATTGGAAAACGCAATTATTTTGTCCAAGTATGTATTAAAATTTGAGCCCCACCAAGTCTTTTAAGAGCAGGGCCCAAAGCTGAAACTAAAAACTAAAATCTGTTCTTTTCAACCCTTGTTAAAAAATAGTCAAGGCTGAACCCCACTAACAATTACAATTTTTACTGCTGCCCAAGGTTGAAAATTGAATCTGTTTTTCAAACCTTGCCAAAACATATAGCCAAGGTTGAGCCCCACTAACACTAACAAATATATTTTTCACTGCGGCCCAAGGTTGAAGATAGAATATGTTCTTTTCAAATCTTGTTTCAAAGTATTCAAGTTTGAGCCCCATTTAAAATTATAATGTTTAGTGGAGCCCAGAAATAAAGATAACATATGTTCTTTTCAAACCAGGTGAAAGTATTCAAATTTGAGCCCAATCATTTTTTCAGGGTTGGGCTCAAAGTTGAAGATAATATGATCTTTATAAAATTTGTCGAAGTAATCGAAACATTGAGCGCCACTAACAACTGTATTTTTTAGTTGGGCCCAGAGTTGAAGATAAAACATGTTCTCTTCAAAACTTGTTGAAAAGTATATATTCAAGTTTGAGCCCCACTAACAATTATAATTCTTAGTGGGGCCCAAGGTTGAATATAAAATATGTTCCTTTAAAATTTTGTCAAACATACTCTAGGTTGAACCCCACTAGAAATTAATATTTTTGGTGGGGCCCAAAGCTGAAGATAAAATATGTTCCTTTCAAATCTTGTCACAAAGTATTCAAGTTTGAACCCCAGAAAAAATCATAGTTTTCAGTGAGGCCCAAAGTTGAAGGTAAACTGTGACAGTATTCAAACTTGAACCCCACCAAGTTTTTTTCAGGGTGGGGCCAAAGTTGAGGAGAATATATATGCGCTTTTCACATCCTGTCGAAATATTCAAATTCGAGCACCACTAAGAATTGTAATTTTCAGTTGGGCACGTAGCTGAAGGTTTTTGCAGGTGCCCCGTTTTCCCTTTGCTTAGGTGATCAAAGGGGCTCATTGCAAGGCATTGCACTAAGAGGATTGCCATAGCTGCAAATTGTACTTGAACAAAGGGAAACTACATTAGCTTGAAATTACCACCCAGCAAGATTGGGCCTTGGAACATCTCGAGCCAAGGTCATAAACCATGAGATTATTATGTGGTAGAATTAGTAGGTGTTAAAAAATGTTAAAATTTTAACATGTTTTAACATTTTTTTAAAAGTAAAACAATATGGTTTTAAATTGATTTATATATATAAACCTAGTGTTAAAAAATGTTAAAAAAGGGTAAAATTTTAAAATTTTTTAACACCTACTAATTCTACCACAATAATAGTCTCATGGCTTATGACCTTGGCTCGAAATGTTCCAAGGCCCAATCTTGCTGGGTGGTAATTTCAAGCTAATGTAGTTTCCCTTTGTTCAAGTACAATTTGCAGCTATGGCAATCCTCTTAGTGCAATGCCTTGCAATGCCTTCTTCATGTATTTGGAGGATTTTTTCAAGGTGCCCTTTTCTGACCCCCTTTGATCACCTAAGCAAAGGAAAAAGGGGCACCTGCAAAAACCTGCAACAAAACAAAGAAACAAAAACAAAGGCTACAATGCAAACAACACCTCAACACATTTACCACCTTTAGAGCTCATGCCTCACAATGCCTTTTTGATGTATTTGGAACATTTTTTTCAAGGTGCCCTCTTCTGACCGCTTTCATAACCAAAGCAAAGAAAAACGGGCACCTGCAAAAACCTGCGACAAAATAAAGGAACAAAAACAAAAGGCTACAATGCAAACATCACTTCAACATTTACCACCTTTAGAGCTCATGCCTTGCAATGCCTTCTTCATGTATTTGGAGCATTTGCTCAAGGTGCCCTTTTCTGACCCCCTTTGATCACCTAAGCAAAGGAAAAAGTGGCACCTGCAAAAACCTGTAACAAAACAAAGAAACAAAAACAAAGGCTACAATGCAAACAACACCTCAACACATTTACCACCTTTAGAGCTCATGCCTCGCAATGCCTTCTTGATGTATTTAGAACATTTTTTCAAGGTGCCCTCTTCTGACCCCTTTCATCACCTCAGGAAAGGAAACAAGAGCACCTCTCAAAAATGAACCAAAACGAAGAAATGTTCCTGGAAAGTAATGTAGTTTCAATTTTCGCCCTAAGCCTAAAAAAACTCGGTGGGGCTCAATTTTGATTCCTTTTCAGCAAAATTTGGAAACATGTTTATTCTTCAACTTTGGGTCACCAAAATATTGCATTTTTTAGTGGAACTGAAACTTGAATCTTGTCGACAAGATTTGAAGAGAACATGTTTGATCTTCATTTTTTGGCCCAACTAAAAATTAGTGGGGCTGAAACTTGACTACTTCGACAAAATTTGAAAGAAACATATATTATCTTCAACTTTGGGCCCCACCCTGGAAAATCAAATATGGGGGTGAAGTTTGGATACTTTCACCAAATTTGAACAGGACATAGTTTATCTTCAACTTTGGGCCCCACTGAAAATTAAGATTTTTGCAGGGGTTCAAGCTGGAATACTTTGTGTCAAGGTTTGAAAGGAAACTAATTTATCTTCAGCTTTGGGTCCCACTAAAAATTGTAGTTCTTGGTGGGGCCCAAATTGATAATTTTTGGTGGGGCTCAAAGTTGAATATTCCGACACAATTTGAAAAGAACAGGTTTTAGTTTCAGCTTTGGCACCCATGTGTTTTTCATGGTGAGGATCGAATTTGAATACTTGGACAAGATACTTTCAGTTTCCAATTTACTTTGTTATCAACAACACTCCTCTGTGGAGTGCAGGTACAATACGTTTTGTTTCTGCACTTTGGCCATTGCAATTATTAATTACCAACTACTGCCTACTGAATATCACCTACTAACCAGCAATCACAACTATACTAGCAAGTAATTAGAAACTAGTATATAAGTATTCACTATTCACTAGTAAGGAATATGTCATCTGAAGGGGGCCTAGGCCTAAATGTTTGTTTAAGGTACTTGAGATTTGTTTTTATATATATCATATTTTGGGGGTGGGCATGGCTTACAACATGAATGCTTCTACAAAAACATATTGACAAAAAAAAGTAAAAGCCCCAGGAGCATTGACAATGTTTGGAACAGGGTATGTTGCACACAATCGTTTTTGTACATTCCATTTTCCTTTTTCTTTCCAAATACCTTTGGTTGCATTCCAAATACCTTTGGTTGCAAGCTGATTTTTCTTCAAAGTGAAAAGGAGGCAAGATTGGAACAGTTTCCAACTAGAAATTCTTGAAAAGAGGTAGCTAATCAAAATTCAAAAAGTCATATTTTAACATTGAATTTTAAACTAGAAAAATAACACTAAAACCTAGATTGCTTAATTAAGCAATCCAAAATTGTTCCTCCTAGATTGCTTAAATAGGATTGCTTAATTAAGCCATCTTCTTAATTAAGCAATCTAGGAAGTTCTTGTATTGCCTACTTTTTTGCAAAAAGAAAAAAACAAAGGACAGCAAAGAAAAAAACATATGACAATTTTGACACAAACTTAGCCATTATACCACTATAACAGCACCAAAGCCAGATCACTTAATTAAGGTCTCCAGAAGTTCCTCCAAAAGTCCTTAATTAAGAAAATCCTGGAGACCTTAATTAAGGTATCTCCTTAATTAAGGACTTGTGGCGGCTCTGGGCAGATGGGCGATATCCTGGTCTTTCTGTTTTCGTTCCACGCTGGCAGCCCAGAGATCGGCCGTCGGCCCCACCGCCCTTTCACTTCCGTTGCTGTCTTCCCGTTTACCACGTACACCTGCAGGTCCTTCTGTGGTCATTTCTCTTCCGTTCTCTTGTCTGCGATGTTTTGCCTTCGGCTCTGCTTCCTGCGTTTGGAAGCTCTCCTGTTCTCTAGTCCGTTTTCGTTCCGCGATGGCATCCATTGCAAGGACCATGTTGCGCCAGCCACGGTTTGAAAGCGAACGCTGCTTGCTTTACGTGGCATATGCTGCATCTCGACCAGCTTCATAAGGATGTATATATATGTCTACAGTCTGTGCGCATTCCTTCCTCCGCCTTGAAAGGGGGTCGGCGGCACCAGGGCGTTAGCCCATTTATATTCATGTTTCCAGTTCCATATGATACATGGATCCCCTCCGGAGGAGATCAAGCTGCATATGAGCGAGATCAAAGAAGAAAACGACAAGTGGTCGAGGACACCTCACAGGCAGGAAACGGTTGTGTAGTTTGTGCCCGGTTTTGAAAGGCTTGTTGTTTTCTAAGTTGGTCAACAATCAGCGATTAAAAACTGAACAAACCTTTCACTGGGAGGTAGCACCACTTAGAATAGTGCACAATCCAGGCATATTTACACAGGGAAATCAAATTCTTCATGATGATAAGTTAACATTCAAAGTGGTTTCGGGTCACTGTCCATGACGTTTTTGTTACTTTTTAGTCGCCGCATTTTTGGGATTTAACAGGTCGACATACAATTTGGGGTCAACGATAGGGAAGTTAGGGGCCAAATAACTCGAATTCTGTTGGGTTATTAATAGAATATGTTTGAACTATAGTTAGTAGGGTTTACCAGTGAACTTGTGGCCTGGGTTCACCTTGTACAGCTAGATGGGTTTATGTACCAATTTACCTATCGTTTGGAAGCCCAAATGAAGAAACCAATTTTCTTTGGAGACTGATCCGACATGTGACCTGGCTACCAACAAAAATTCTGTCCCCATCCGAGTTCAGACAGTGTATGTGTTTTCCAATTTTTAAAAATGGAGCACGTCTCTAAAACTTTGGAACATCGTAAAACAACACAATACCCTAGTTTTTGTTCTAGATGCGGAAGACCCATCGTTTCCCAAGGAAATGATCTACTTGCATGCTGGGATTTTGGACCACGATGATGACTCGAATCAACAATACCAACCACTGGTTAGTAGAAATCATCTAGTCATGGCCAATTTCGGATACCCTTGGGCAAAAAAACAAGTGATTGGCATAGTTCCATATGTATTATATATATATATGTGTGTGTGTAAAATGTCAAGTTAGGATTTAAAAACTAGTAGGAATTAAAGGAATTAATCATCAACCACACAAGAAAAATGTTTTGGCAATACTGAAATGGGTTGGTCCCTCCTGGTTAATTAACGGGGAGGGGGGTATCATCCAATTAATCAACCTCCACACAGAAATTTCTGCTTTTTGGTTCGCCACATGCAGTCACATGCTTTGAACACCACTCCTTTCAAGTTTCACAGAGAGCTTTGATTCTGACAAACCTCTGACAGAGATTTCCCCATAAGGCTCTGTTGGCTTGACGCACACTACAATCATACGAGTTGAGTAGCTTATTACTTTGCTGCATTGGCACCAGCCTTTTTTGTGACTTTGCAGTCACAGGCTTGTGACTTTGCAGTCACAGACTTGTTGCTTTGCAATCACAGGCTGAGTCAGGCTTGGCTCGAACCAAATTCTTGGCTAATTTCAAAAAAATACGATTTCCGAAATGGTCAATTTCTTCATTAAAACCAATTTAAAAACCATCACTTTGAGAAGCTCCGCAAGGGTACCCCTCATGAGCACATGTCCTACCCCAAATAATAGGCAGGGTTTCCCCCCATTGATCGACCCCCCTTGGCCCCTTTAGATTTCTTCTAGGTTAAAAGGAAAATCAATTGAAAGTAGATTGATATCAATTGAAATCCGTACTAATCTGAAGGAAAATCAATTGAGCGTAGATTGATATCAATTGAAATCCGTACTAATCTTCAAATTTCTTCTAGGTCTAAAAGGAAAATCAATTGAAAGTAGAGATATCAATTGAAATCCTTACTAATCTTGAGATTTCTCCCAGGTCGAAAAGAAAAATCAATTGAAAGTAGATTGATACCAATTCGAAGTTGAACTCTTATGAATTCAACTTGCGCGGTCGATTATTTGGGGGAAGAACCTTCGCAGAACCTTCTCTCTAGGTACCCATCTTCCGGGTATATATCTAATCCTAACGTGACATCATATATATATATATACATATGTATATCTATGTATGTGTATATCTACATGTTTAACTGATGTATATATATATATAATCGTATGGCCATGGCTCAACCACCACCAGTCTGTACCATCGGGATCATCCCAAATATTTTTCGCTGTTGTCCGAGGCACGGTTCAATCGGTCCAACACCTGACATCGGTCACGTCATCCGACAGAATTGGATGACGGTATTGATGGTTGTGAGGGGATTGACTTGATCATCTTGATCTGCATAATGAAGCTTAATGAACTGCAGCTACTTAAATCCTCAATTGGTAATTGGATTGGTTTAAGGAAGATTTGCCGGAATGATCGATATTTGATGGTTTAATCCTGCAAAAACGATTTAAATTGTATATTGGTGTTAGACCTTTCTATCCTTGCACGAACCACTGACTGGGTCACCCGGTCACCTCCATCTGGCATCCCAAGGTGGAAAACCCCCGAACGCTAGCTAAGTTGGCTTATTAATCTATATTATATTATATTAAAAACCAAGGTTAACTATGGTTTATAGATGTGTATAGTAGATGTAAGTATACTTAACATATCTTAACATTACTTAACTATGGATAATACACAAACTTGGTTGATTAGTTCCGGGGAAGGCCACAGGTCCGATTCGGAATTCAAGCAATTTCGAACCCAAGGTGGCCCCCCCCCAGTGGTAAGTTGATAAAGCTATCAACCTTTAGTCAAAACAAACAACCTAGTTTACCTAGTTATATATGTAAACCAACTTAGCTAACTATGCGGCCCACTTTCGTGGATCAAGATCTCCAAGGAACATCTTGATGCAAGAAGACTCGAGTACGGGCAGGAAGTTCTAAACGAACAACGCCTCACTGAGTTTCCCTTTGTTTGGTGCCGGGATGATCCATTGCGTGCAAGCTCACAAATGGTAATGTCTATACATGTCGGCAATATGATGAACCAGTGGTGAATGGAGCTTTCTATTCCACCTGAAGCACCCTGGTCATCAGGATGATCATGGTATTTTGAGTCAAGTGAGACTGGGTGCAACATGGTGCAACAGTGTGGGAATACCGCGGAATACAAAATCCAAAAAGTTCTCCCTGTGGTCAATTTCAAGGAATTCACTCTGTTTCTATAATGTGGACCCCAAAATTCTGTTTCTTGGTTTAATTGCACCCCTCTAACTATGGTTTTGAACCACTATAAACTCAACAGTGAACCCAGTTTTTCTGTTTTCCCTGCTGATTGGATTCATTTCTCCTGGAAAATGGCCCTCGGATGAAGCTGGAGACTGCTTGGTGAAACTCGTACTTCCAACCATGCAATCCTGCATGAAACATCATGGAAACCACTTTTGGTGGCAATGTGCAGGAGAAAAAACAGGTGCCGAACGTATTGCGTTGGGCTTCCATGTCAGCTTTCATGAGGGTTTCCCTAGCAACACTCATTTTAAAGCACATACATGGTGACTATATTAACTATCCGACTAGCTGATGATTGGCGACTCGGTAAAGAAAACAATGAGACGTGCCAGCATGAAACGATGAACGTTACGAGGCCACCAAACTTCACCAAGAAACTGAGAACTTTGTGACCTTAACAGGATTGGCTTGCGGGTTCAGGACAGCAAATAGGAGCAGGATAGGAACACCGCAATCCCAAATCATTCTTATTGGGAATGATGTGCTGGTATGTACGTCAGCACATTCTAAAATTATATGTGAAGTTGAGTAGCACTAAATCATTCAACACAGCAAACACCGTTGATGTCATTAAACTCAATGACATCAAGACTCATCCATCTCATCCAGTTTTGGCACCGAACAATATTCATTTCCAGTCCTGATCTCAACAACAAAAAACATGGAACTCCAAGGGGCCCCAGGGGTCACCCTCCCAAGAATCATATAAGATCTTACGGTGAATGGGGCGTGTTCAACCTGAGTAGGAGCCGTCCTTGAGTGAGTGAAGCTCGCTGGAATTCACTGGGATTGGACATAAGAAAGGTCTCTTTTACAAGCAAGATATGTACAAAAAGAAACAGTAGCCACGATATCTTCAGATATCGATGGAATCTATGGTTTTCTGTTGGCAATCAGTACCTGGTTTTCTCACCCCGTGATCACCCGCAAGGCAGGGCTGATATTGGTCAAACAACTACAAGGGGAGGGGCAATCCTTGGCTCAGTTGGTTTAGTTATGTTTAGTTTACAGGTTAACACGGGGCCATTGTAGTTATAACTATGGAATTGAATGACAAACTTATAACTGGCCGGGACCAAATTGTATACATATATATATATTTTGTATAGCCATTGGGTTCACCTGTCAAAACGGCAAGCTGAACCTGCCATGCCCAGCAGTTCCTGGTTGTTGAGTTGTTTACAACTTGGTATTTAGCTAAAGTTGGTGAAAATAAATCGGCTAAATGTTGGCCCTGTGTTTTGGTGTAACGCAGCATGATATATCTATCATATATAATGTATAGTTTGATGCGTTTACAAACCAACGAGGGTTCATCCGAGTCTATCCAACAGGGTAATCATTCCAGTGCTTCCAGCGGACAAAACCACACGCTCGAGAAGGGCATGCAGTTCTGAAGTCACTGATTTGTTTACCAGGAAATTCTATGCAAGGCTGGGAAGGATACTTCCAAGTTCCTTTCCACAATAGATCCATTCACTTCTAATCCAAATTTCCAAAACCTTAAGTTCTTTGGTGGAATTCACAAGAATTTTCCAGGATCTTGAATGTTTCAATCCCGTTCCAAGATCCAAAATTTTACCGCCTAGGCACACTCTTCTGGAAATTGGCTGCTCTCAGCTCGTGCACCTGCACAGTTCCGTAGAAAAAATGGTGGTAGTTAAACCCAAGAAACATTTGATGGGGCAACATCTTGTATGCGGTATATCCGCCAACCCCGGCTGCGCAAGGGGGAGCGTGTAAGGGACAAAGAGCTATCAGAACACCAAGCTCTTGTAGTACTACTACTACTACTACTACCACTACTACTACTACTACTGCTACTACTACTACTACTACTATTACTACTACTACTACTACCACCACTACTACTACTACTACTACCACCACTACTACTCCTACTACTCCTGCTACTCCTACTACTCCTACTACTCCTACTGATCCTACTACTCCTACTACTCCTACTACTCCTACGTCCTACTACGTCCTACTACTCCTACTACTCCTACTACTCCTACTACTCCGACTACTCCTACTACTCCTACTACTCCGACTACTCCTACTACTCCTACTACTCCTACTGCTCCTACTACTCCTACTACTCCTACTGCTACTGCTACGGCTACTCCTACGGCTACTCCTACGGCTACTCCTACTCCTACTCCTACTCGTACTGCTACTTCTACTGCTACTGCTACTGCTACTCCTACTGCTACTGCTACTGCTGCTGCTGCTACTGCTACTGCTGCTGTACTACTACTACTACTACTAATTACTCCTCCTCCTCCTCCTACTACTAAAACTACTACTACTACTACTACTACTACTACTATTACTACTACTACTACTACTCCTACTACTCCTGCTACTCCTGCTATACTCCTGCTACTCCTACTACTCCTACTCCTCCTACTGATCCTACTACTCCCACTACTCCTACTACTCCTACTACTCCTACGTCCTACTACTCCTACTACTTCTACTACTCCTACTACTCCTACTACTCCGACTACTCCGACTACTCCTACTACTCCTACTACTCCTACTACTCCTACTACTCCTACTACTGCTACTGCTACGGCTACTCCTACGGCTACTCCTACGGCTACTCCTACTCCTACTCCGACTCCTACTCGTACTGCTACTTCTACTGCTACTGCTACTGCTACTCCTACTGCTACTGCTACTGCTGCTGCTGCTACTGCTACTGCTACTGCTACTGCTGCTACTACTACTACTACTACTACTAATTACTCCTTCTCCTCCTCCTCCTACTACTACTACTACTAGTACTACTACTACTACTACTACTACTACTACTACTACTACTAGTACTACTACTACTACTACTACTATTACTACTACTATGCCATGGTGTTTCAGATGGTGTAAGTTGAAGAGTTAATTCTTTACGATTTCAGAAGACACGTTAGGAAGTTTTTTGGTGCGATTTGGTGGCTTCTTCGTCCTTCACTGCCATGGTGTTTCAGGCTGGCAGGTCCAGTGTTTTGGCGGCTCAGAAGGTGTAAGGTGAAGAGCTAGTTCTCGAGGATTTCAGAAGACACGTTAGGCACATCCAGCAATTCGAGGAGGTGAACTAATATATTGTTTTTCTAGTCTCCAGAACGGGCGTCAAGGCCCAGTAGAAGCGTGTTTTCGGATGTTTTTGGAGGTCATTGAATCATTGGGAAGCTCGGAAGGTGTAAGTTGAAGAGCTAGTTCAACCCCATGGTGTTTCAAGCTGGCGGGTCCAGCATCTTGGCGGCTCAGAAGGTGTAAGGTGGTGCGATTTGGTGGCCTCTCCGTCCTTCACTGCCGTGGTGTTTCTGGCTGGCGGGTCCACTGTTTTGGCGGCTCAGAAGGTGTGAGTTGGCGGGCTAGTTCTCGAGGATTTCAGAAGACACGTTAGGGAGTTTTTTGGTGCGATTTGGTGGCTTCTTCGTCCTTCACTGCCATGGTGTTTCAGGCTGGCGGGTCCAGTGTTTTGGCGGCTCAGAAGGGGTAAGTTGAAGAGCTAGTTCTCTAGGATTTCAGAAAACACGTCTGGCATTTTTGGGGTGCGATTTGGTGGCTTCTCCGTCCTTCGTTGCCATGGTGTTTCAGGCTGGCGGGTCCAGTGTTTTGGCGGCTCAGAACACCAGCTGCGCTCAAGATAGGCCCAGACTGCTTCCATACAGGCAAGCACTGCGCATTATGCCTGCCTCGGTTCAACATAGCCCTCCCTGGGTTTGCGCGGAGAATCTCGGCACAATCTTCCCACACCATAACCCAAAAGTCGTTGCTCGGCCGGCGCCCGGCTGTCAGGCGTAAGCCTTTAAATCCGGGCGCCGGCCAACGGGCAGCCCGTGTCTTTGCCGGAGGCCTTCGGTGGTAACCGAAGGTTTTAGGCGCTGCCTGCCCTGCCGCCGACCCGCCTCCAGACCACTCCCCCCTCGAAGTCCCTGTAATTTACGGTGTATTGTGCTCGCGGTGTTAAAAAACATTTTTTTTTACGGTGTTTCGGGCCCTTCGGCGGCAAGGGATTTCATCTTGGCGATGTTGAAAAACCTCGGTTTTTACTTGGTTTTGGGCTCCAGGAGGGGGCCCAGGGCGTAAAAATTGGCATCTTAAGATCGTTTCAACATAGCTGGCCCAAACATGGCCCCAACATAGCTTCCAAGAAGGCTCAACATGGGCCAACATAGGCCCAACATAGGCCAACATAGGCCAACATAGGCCCAACATAGGGCCAACATGGGCCCAACATAGCTCAACATGCGCCCAACTTGGCCGAACATAGGCCCAAGGTGATGGCTCAACATGGGCCGGACTTGGACCAAGATAAGCCCAAGATAAGCCCAAGATGGCGCAACCAACATGGGCACAACCTGCGCTCAACGTAGGCACAGACTGCTTCCATACAGGCAAGCACTGCGCATTATGCCTGCCTCGGTTCAACATAGCCCTTCC